GTAATATTTGATATACAGTAACGATTGAGCACGTGAAGCGGTTTAGGCATGACGTTAGCTAGCTAATGAGATTTAGTGGTAAGCATCATTAACAGATTCATATATATATTTTTGAGAGTAGTAGATGATTGTTAACTTAATCTTAGCAAATAGTTTATCAGTTTTAGGTTAAACTTATGATACACGGACACAACTCTTGAGGGTCTAAATACAATGAATCGTCTTTTATTGTTAACTAATGTTTTAATTCTGTAACATTGTTCGTTTTAGTGATCCCATTTGATGTCAGCCTTACATATTTTTTTTCTCAGGATTTTACCTATCACAAGCATGGACTAAAGCGGTAAGTGTGTTATTATTGTTGTTATTTTATTATTTATTTCCAATTATATTTACTTTGTTGGTGTATAATTTGTCTCTAAGGTTATGCTACAGAGTATTTTAAGCATTTAATAAAAAATATATAGTATGACAAAATATTGAAATGCTTTTGGTAGAGGTCAACAGTAATCTTGTATATTAACAATAACATCAATATGTTTATGAACACCTCAGAATGAACTGTAATAAGAAATAAAAAGAATATAGGAATGGATGTAAAAAAAAAAGAAGAAGAAGAAGAAAAAAAAAGAAGCAGCAGAGTGTCAGAGTAGCTTCTTTTTAGGTTTAGTTAGCTTTGTCCTCTAAAATGAACTAAAAACCTGAGCACGCCTCTCTGAGACTTTAATGAATTCCTGGCTTATTTTTTTTGGTGTTTGGTGCTAATTTATTTGTTCTGTCTTTGTGAACATGGCAGACAACAATGCTGTTCAGACGGTTCTGGGACATTGCGGAGCGAAGCCATGTCTTCAGGCGCCGGAGAGCGCTGAAGCTTCTCTCTGCCTCAGCTGATGATGCAGGAACCACAAGAAGTAAGCGGACCAGAGTCTCCACTTGCTTGAAGAGTCCACGGACCTCAGGTACCATGTTCTTCAAAATATTGACCACTTCTGTACAACTT